CACATAGCCTTAGGCACGAGTCAGAGTTTCCTAAATTCCCCCAAAATAAAATATTTAGGTGGCGACTCTGTATCTAGAAAAGCAGTCCATGTTTGGCACTTCTTTTCAAAAATCTATTTCTCAAAACGATTTGCCGGATTTGGACTCTTTGGTTCAGATTAAGAACCGTGACATAAATCGAGTCCGAACTGTAGTGAGGCCCACAGGCGCATCTACACCAACTAGGCGGTCGAGTAGGTGCCGATCGGTCGGCTCGAGCAGTTCAGTTGGTATACTGAAGTGTTTGTTGAGTGTATTGGGTGGTTCTGGTTTCAGATTCCTTTCTCTTCTCTCTGAGGATTGGGTTTTTGGTTGTGGAATCTTGGCGGGCGGCCGAAAAATCTTCGGTGTTCATGTATTTTTGGGCTTTAGAAAGGAGGGTTGCCATGGAGGTTGGAGGGTTTTTGGAGAGGGAGAAAAGGAAGTCAGATGACCGTAAACCAGCCATGAAAGCCGTGAGAATAACCTTGTCGTCATTTTCCGCCACCTGTAAGGCTTCGGTGTTGAAACACATGTCGGAATGGGTCTAGGCAAATACATCATTGTGCTCGGTCAGGAGGGCTGTAAGGTCGGCCTTGGCTTGGGAGGATAATTGGCTGCCGATCTTGGCTGTTTTTGCTAGGTTGACAAGGTTGATGGGGACTTCAACAAGTTCTTCCACTGGTTTCCTCTAACTAACTTGTCTTCGTCTTTGATGTCGAGTCCTTCGATGATCATGGCTTCCTTCAGCTTGACCTTTTTGAGTTTCTGGCCACCGTCTACTCTCCCCTTACGGTGCCAACCCCGAGGTCGACAGGAAATTTCGCGGCCAGATGGTATGTGGATGTGACAGCTTGAAAAGCGTTAAGGGCTGTGCGGCCGAGGATGATGTTATAAGTGTTACCCAAAAAGCAACCTAAGAGGGGGGTAAATTAGGTTTCTACAAATTAAAATTAATAATACCCCCAATAAAATTAGCAACTAGTCCAACAAATTATTAACAAGCACAATGATGAACTTAGTAGTAAATGATCAAGCAAAATAATAATGAAGTATAACTAACATACAAGGTAAATCAAATGATTAGCACATGAATATTAGATAGATATAGTAGTAGTAGGAAAATAAAGAGATTAGGGAAGAGGAGACAAACAGATTTATAGTGATTCGGCTTCAACTAAGCCTACATTCACTCCTCAAGCTTCACTTGAGATTTTTCACTATCTTCTAGCTTCACAGGGTGCTAGCAACCTTTTCACAGATGGAGCAATCCTCCACAGATTTTACACAAACTTTCTAAGTCAAGAACACTGAGTGTACTACACTCTTAAAAGGTTGAAAAGAATGTGTTTTTGCTTTCACAGAAAGCTATAATAATTATCTCTCAAAGATAGATATAAAAATGAAACTCTGGTTTTTCTGTAAACCTCACACAGGAAAGATGAGCTTAATGTTATAAGGCTCAGTGTATAATTTCTGAGAGAGGATGTAAACAAAAATTGAAGAACACTTCTCAGAAAAATTTTCAGAAAATAGATGTGAGTAATTATAGATCAAAGAATATTTTCTAGTTTTTTAAGTAACTTGTTTACATTAAAGACTTTGGTATATATAATGAAATTTATAGTCATTTATAGCCGTTGTATTCATTTGAATTTATAGCCATTTATAGCCGTTGTATTCATTTGAATTTATAGCCGTTGTACTTCCATCATTACCAATTTGAATATCTTCCACTCCATCATTACAAATTTGAATATCTTTCACTTGAACCTTTTGAACTGCTGTTGTGCTGAGTTGTTTGAACCTCTGTTTTGGGCTGTTTGAACTCCTGATATAATCAAATATTAAACACATTCTAACAACATTTAGGATAAAGGTTTAGGTGAGAAATAATGGAACAAAATAAATTTTGATTCTATTTTTCTTTTTCAAATAAATTAAAATATAATCATCAAAATAAATTTTAGATTCTATTTTTCTCTTTCAAATAAATTAAAACATAATTAAATAAATCATCAAAATAAATAAGTCTAACAATAAGGAGAGGGATAGTCGACGACAAGGAAAGTAAGTAACTTGGTGGTCTGCCGTGGATACTCTCCGATGGTGATGGGAAGATCGATGGAGCCTATAGAGGTCACCCGATCCCCCGTGAAGCCGACTAATGGGGTTTGGAGAGGGGACAATCTTTCTTTCCCGACCTTGAGCTGGCAATAGGTGTTTAGGAAGATGATATCTGAAGAGCTGCCGTTGTCGACAAGCACTCGTCTAACTTTGTAATTGGACAGGAGAGCATATATGACGATGGGGTCGTCGTGAGGATAACGGATGCTTGTGCAATCGGCCTCTGTAAAGGTGATGGGCTTCATCCACTGTTTGGGGTGTTTTAAGGGGCGATCCGCCCTGTCTAATTTTTCTAAGTTCGGCTCGCTGGGCCGAACAGTATGGTCCTCCGCACGCAAGTTCGCCGACAACGACTCTAATCTCTCCAACCGGGGGAGCAAGGTTGCCTTGTGCTCGGGGTTGTGGTGGGGGCCGATCATTGCCTTGGTTAGGTTGTGCTGGTTGTCAGGGAGGGGTGTGTCGGCGGTTGCCCCTAGTAGGTTCGGTCCTTGGCCGTTACTGGAGACGGGCTACCGTGAATCGATTGAGGCACCCCTGGCGTATCAAGCTCTCTACCTGGTCTTTAAGGTTAACACATTCCTCGGTATTGTGGCCGTGGTCCTAATAGAAACGACAGTATTTAGATTGGTCTCGCCGGTTGGAAGAAGACCGTGAGGGTTGTGGCCATTTCAAGTTGTAATCTCGTTGGATCTGGTTCAAGACTTGTTCCATGGGGGAATTGAGAGGTGTGTACCGTTCAAACCGACTAGGCGGTCGAGTAGGTGCCAATCTGTCGGCTTGAGCAGTTCAGTTGGTATACTGAGGTGTTTGTTGAGTGTATTGGGTGGTTATGGTTTCAGATTCCTTTCTCTTCTCTCTGAGGATTGGGTTTTTGGTTGTGGAATCTTGGCAGGCGGCCGAAAAATCTTCGGTGTTCATGTATTTTTGGGCTTTGGAAATGAGGGTTTCTATGGAGGTTGGAGGGTTTTTGGAGAGGGAGAAAAGGAAGTCAGATGACCGTAAACCAACCATGAAAGCCGTGAGAATGACCTTGTCGTCGTTTTCCGCCACCTGTAAGGCTTCGGTGTTGAAACGAGTGACGAAGCTACATAGCGACTCCCCCTCCGCCTAACGAATGTTAAGGTGCTGGGTCGCTGGACGCCGCTAGCGCTGGGCACCGCTAGCGCTGGGCACCAATGAAATGGCTAAGAAAGGAATCACTTAGGTGCTGGAAAGTAGAGACAGAGTCCGTCGGCAGCTGACTAAACCACAGTCGAGCCGACCACTTAAACGTTATGGGAAAAGCCCGACACATGATCTCATCATGGAATGCATGGAGGACCATTAGGGTCCTATAAGTCTCCAAGTGGACGACTGGGTCCATTGTGCCGTTGAAAGAGTCAATTGAGGGCATTTTGAACTTAGGAGGTAGAGGTTTGTCTTTGATGGAGGCGACAAACGGTGAGTTGGCTGTTATGGAGGGTTTATTCTGCATGACTCCTTGAAGCTGGAGTTACATGGCTCGAAGTTCCACATCCCATATGGGAACGTTGTCACCACCAGAATGCAATGGAGGCTGAACACTACTGGCCTCTCCCTCGGGAGGCAGGTGTTTGGGCTGATGGATGTAGACCCTGAGGTAGCGGGTTCATGTCTTAGGGAGGGGGTCGCAAACCCTCCAAGTTGGAGGGGTGGGCTTGTTGGAAGGCATGGCTCGGGGTTCGTTCTCGGTTAGGTGGGATATCTTGTGGTGGTGGAGGAGGCACGGGAAGGTCTCGCTGAAGCAAAACATTGATCAAAGCTTGGTTTTGTTCGGTTAGGCGGTTGATGCTGTTAGTGAGTTCGGTGAAATACTGAGGTGGGTTGTTTGGGTTAGGAAGGTCAGCAACGTTGTGTTGAGAAGCCATGGATCTCGTTGTGACCATTCACCTTGGTGGGTGGTAGGGAGGGATTATTGGGAATGGGCCTCTGGCAACAATGAGTACAATTGTCACACGGAGTGAAAAGTTCCCACAGACGGCGCCAACTGATGATACTACTTGTCCCAGAGGGACGGGTCGGGCTAATCCACGTCTCCCACACCGTTGTCTGATGGCTGGATCCACAGAGAAATCTGCACAAGAGTCCAACGAGGAACAGGAGTCCCCCAGCAAACCCTCCGACGAGCAAGTTAGAAAAGAGAGATAAATGGAATATAGAGATAGGATGATGATAAAGAACTTAACCTTCTCTTTATCTTAGAAACCTTTTTATATCCTTTGTTCATCATTTTTTTGTCCACTCCGACCTGTCATGTTGGCTGAAAGTCTATGTTCAAGCCTGCCTTGTTCATGGTGAGGCTATTCTGTTCCGACGTGAAGGGGTTATCGCATTAAATGCTGCAAGGAACTTCATTAATGGCTGATGTGTGGTTTAATAACTCTGTAGGATCTTTGTTTGCTTATGTGGCTGTTCTTCTCTTGACAAGTGTTTAGATGTCATTAGTTCTTGGTGCAACGTTAGGCTTCAATAATGTTGGTCTTTAGTGTTTAAATCATGTATTGGGTTTTAAGTAGTGGGCCAAAAACCCCTATAGGCCCACCTATGTTAGATAATATTTACCATATTTGTTAATGTTATAGATTTCTCCAATTTATTCAAATCGACATTTGATATTTTTGCCATAAATCTGTCAATATATCCATCTTTGTAGGTTTGCAATATATTCTTGTCACCAATGCTTGGCTAAAAGTACCCTGCTTAGGTTATTTTACATGGTAACTATCTCACTGATAAATTTTCTTAGCCAAAAATTACAAAATCATAGACTTAAACCACCGAAGCAAGTAATAATATTCTGCCAAAAATGAGCAAAAATTTTTGGAAATCATAAATCATATAGCAATATATTTAACTAAATTTAGACTTCGTAAAATATGCCAGTCCAGACAAAAAGAACACACTATTTTACAAGGCCCGGAACTGAAGAAAGCAACTATAAATTTTAAATTTGAGAATGGCATTGCACTTGGACATTCCAAAAAAATATGGAATTGAAAGCCATAACGTCTGACAACCATTTTACTAGCCAAAAAACAAAATCACCATTTTACAAAATTTACATATGAGAAATCCAGATCTCATCCCAAATTTCCTAGATCATTTGCTAGGACTCACCAATCTTCTATTTCATCATCGGTAGTTTCATTAACTTCGTTGTCCAAGCTAGTGCCATCAAAGCTGTCATCATTCAACATGTTATCCTTTGTTGATGCAAGTTGAGCCTCTCGACCTTCAGATTCTCTAAATCCAAGCCATTTAAGGACGGGTTTAAACTCGGTAGCAACAACCGACAAGTCAGATAAGCTCAGGCCATCATAAGCAACACATCTTTGGCTTACCATATTCAACTGAAATTAAATTAGGTAAAACCATATGTAAGGAAACCGACATGACAAAAGAAAGTAACCAGAATGGCCACTTTGATTCAGTTTGCAACCCACTAGGTAAACTATAAAGCCAGATCATGATGCGTTTTGTCATAATTGCTGAGCCCTTAGCAAGGACCAGATTAATTTATTTTTCTTTTCTTTTTTTCTTTGTTTTTTGAGGGGGAAAAAGTTGTGAAAATAGGAAAAACTTGACAATTCTATGATGATAAAGTATGTCTGTATTAGTAATTGCAAGAACAGCAGATAAGAAACTCCAACAAGCATATATCCAAACTGACCTTATTGTGCCGTAATGATTGCTCAACCTGCCAGAGCCTTGGACGTCGAATTGCATGCCACCTGCATGGTCACAAGAATTCATGTTATTCTCAACTTATAGAAATCATTGTTGGAACTTGATAACAATAATATTAATCCATACAAAAATACCTGGAAGGTGATGGATGAAAATTTCCAAATAGCACACCTCGCACAGAAACTGAAGCAGCAGAAGATTGTACAATATTCTCTGCCTCATAATTTCTGCTTCGCATTCCACTTAGTGAAGCAAGAAGGAAATCAGCATCACTCAAGTATGAAGTCACAACCCATGCATCATCCATAGCTTCCTCACTCAGGAAATCTAGAACTGCAAGAAAAGTTGAACATAAACAACCACAAAAGTTACCATAGATTTTGTTGCTTATCATGCAAAAATCCTACAATCAAATTAGTTAAGATTGTAATTCTTTTTTCTTTTATGTTTTTGAACTATTTTTTCCCATTAGTCTTTTACTTCTCACTTCCTATTCCCAGATCTATTTCCAATAGCTGAAATATGATTTTGATCTGGTAGCATGAAGACTCTTTGAGAACTAGAAATATATGAGGATTCCATTTCAACCTTGGCAGTCACAAAACAATCGATCAGCAACACATTCACACAGCGAGCGAGTTCATCAATGTTCCCATTAACTTTTTGGGCTTCCAGCCGGATTCACTCTATGCATTTTACATCTAAAACTCATCAGACTCAGTCCAACACAACAATGTATACTTGGACACATCGAAGACTAGGGGGAAAATTCTAACAATTTACTACTGCTATTATTCATAATACTTTGGGTTAATTTTTAAAAAAAAAACCCAAGGTTTTACGCATTTTTCACTTTAAACCCCAGTGTTTCAATTTTGACAAATTAAACATTGGAGTTCCATCCGTGTTTTAATTTGCCCTCTCCGTCCATCTCCATCTGTGTAAGGTAACAGAAGAGGTTCAAAGTGAAAAACACTGGGGTTTAAAATGAAAATTGCGTGAAATCTTGGGATTTTTTGTGTAATTAACCATTTTTTTAAATAAAAATCACCAAAAACAAAAAAGGGTTAATTACAAAATAAATCTCAAGGTTTCACGTGTTTTTCTTTTTAAACCCCTTCTATTACCTTAGACAAACAGAGACGGATGGATGGGGCAAATTGAAACACGGATGGAACTTCAGGATTTAATTTGTTAAAATTGAAACACTGGGTTTAAAATGAAAAATGTGTGAAACCATAGGAGTTTTTTTTGTAATTAACCCTAATACTTTTTAAAAAGGTTCTACCATATTACTAAGAATAATGCTGCAGCAATGTCATCATTTTATTGAAGATAATGTGAAACACAAAGTTCAACCCAAATCTATGAACCTGTCCTAAATGGAGGTGCTTTCACTATTTTGCTAAGGAAACCCAACAATCAGAGGCCTCATCTGAAAGTTTAAATGAATTGACATATTTTTTTATCACTTCAACAATGTCGGATCATATTAAAATCAAGTTGACCCTCTGACTACTAGCAATGGTAACAAAAACACACAGGAAAAGGCACTTGGATTTTAAAAAAGAAAAATTTTTACCATTTTCATGTAGAAAATCAGCGACAGGCCTTGCTTGCCCATGTGATTTACAAAGAACTTTTTCTGGAGCATCCATTTTCAATGGAAGTCTAGCAAATCTCTCCTTCAAAAGAAATGCATTGTGGTCTACAACAGAATAGAATGAGCTTAGGAAAGAGATTAAAGCAAGAGTAAATACCAAAAATTCAATAAAGAACAAGAACTGTATATATCTAAAACTGTCTCATGGCAATAAACTTGGTCTTTCTATATAAGCATGAGGAAGGGGCATATAAATTTGTTAGAGTGGACCTTTATCATAGATTCAAATATCAATCAATTCACCACAACTGCAATATATGTAAGCATCATTGTCATTTGATTTTCTAACCTTCATTAAAAAGTGGGGCAAATTACACCAATAGTTCCTATAATTTGCCCCTTTGTGTCAATTTGGTTCCCGTAGTTTCAATTGCATCAATTTTGCCTTTAATTTTTCACAATGTGCTAATTTGATCCAATCCAGTTGATTAAGGCTTAATAAGAGATTGGTCAAAAATCAAGGGAAAAATAGTCCATTCACCATTTTTCTCTTTCCCATTCATCTTCCCCACACCACCACTTCCCTCCACCACGTACCACCCCCCACCTCGACCACTGGCAAAATACACCCCCACCACCATCAAACCCACCATCCCCTCAGCCATACCATCTCCAACTCTATGCCATCAGTAAAATCCAGCAGCACCCCATATTACTAAGAATAATGCTGCAGCAATGTCATCATTTTATTGAAGATAATGTGAAACACAAGTTCAACCCAAATCTATGAACCTGTCCTAAATGGAGGTGCTTTCACTATTTTGCTAAGGAAACCCAACAATCAGAGGCCTCATCTGAAAGTTTAAATGAATTGACATATTTTTTGATCACTTCAACAATATCGGATCATATTAAAATCAAGTTGACCCTCTGACTACCAGCAATGATAACAAAAACACACACGAAAAGGCACTTGGAATTAAAAAAAAAATTTTTTTTACCATTTTCATGTAGAAAATCAGCGACAGGCCTTGCTTGCCCATGTGATTTACAAAGAACTTTTTCTGGAGCATCCATTTTCAATGGAAGTCTAGCAAATCTCTCCTTCAAAAGAAATGCATTGTGGTCTACAACAGAATAAAATGAGCTTAGGAAAGAGATTAAAGCAAGAGTAAATACCAAAAATTCAATAAAGAACAAGAACCATATATCTAAAACTGTCTCATGGCAATAAACTTGGTCTTTCTATATAAGCATGAGGAAGGGGCATATAAATTTGTTAGAGTGGACCTTTATCATAGATTCAAATATCAATCAATTCACCACAACTGCAATATATGTAAGCATCATTGTCATTTGATTTTCTAACCTTCATTAAAAAGTGGGGCAAATTACACCAATAGTTCCTATAATTTGCCCCTTTGTGTCAATTTGGTTCCCGTAGTTTCAATTGCATCAATTTTGCCTTTAATTTTTCACAATGTGCTAATTTGATCCAATCCAGTTGATTAAGACTTAATAAGAGATTGGTCAAAAATCAAGGGAAAAATAGTCCATTCACCATTTTTCTCTTTCCCATTCATCTTCCCCACACCACCACTTCCCTCCACCACGTACCACCCCCCACCTCGACCACTGGCAAAATACACCCCCACCACCATCAAACCCACCATCCCCTCAGCCATACCATCTCCAACTCTATGCCATCAGTAAAATCCAGCAGCACCCCATAGAACTACCAGAAAATTATAGTTAGATCTGATCAAATCCTCTACTCTCAAGTGATGGACATGTACCCCCCAAGTGTTGGAAGCATGTCTGGCTCTAACAAAATTTAGAAAAAAAATAGGACACATTTAAATGTGTTAGACGAATGTTAGTGTCCAACACGTACACACCACCTTAGAATTGTCCATGTTTCTTAGGTTCTATATATATATTAAAAAAAACTTTTAACAGATCCGGTTAAGTTTTCAACACCCTGTAGTGGTACCAGCACCACTGGGTAGTAGAATACATATTCAAATGTCCTAAAACAGGAATGACTAAGTCCCTCATCATTGATTTTTTTATTTTTTTTATCACCTACAATCTACAAATATAAATTCTGCCAGAACTTACCCAATGAAATTGAACTTTCTGTCTCTCTTTTGTTATGAAGAAATTTTCCCAGGGCATGAAAGAGGGAAAGAGTTTTCATTTCTCTACCTAATGGTAAAGAAAATCCATCATCTAAACGATTGATCTCATCCGATCTTTCTTTCAAATAAGTGGGAGTACCACTGGAAAATGTTAAAGAACGCCTCAGGTGCGGTTTCACGCAGAAGTACTGTAAAGATGTAATCGCATGTCTGATATCACCTCCACTCGCTCTTGCTATTAGATCTACCTGTTCAGCATCCACATTACAGTGCTCTTCTCTGCATAATCTAGAAAGCGTCTTCTTAATGGAATTTACTGTAATAGGATTGAAAGCCACCTGAAAGATTCCCAGAAGAAATTTGAAACTAGCATTCAGTAAACCAAACATATCAACTTCAAACCAAGGAGATTAAAAATCGCAACCTTACAAGCACCAGCTCTCTGAAGAGACAACTGAAGCTCTTCCAAGTTCCGTGGGCTGTGGTCTGAAGACTCATCCTTACCACATTCGGTGATCAATATAACTGTTGGAATTAGAGCAGATTGCACAAGGAGATGCAAACACCTGTTTAGTCTTTCATAAGCAACTTTCCCATTTGCCAGGGGAAGATCATCAATTAAGAGTATGTTTGATGTTTGTGATCCTCCATTGAAGGACGAGGGAATTAGTCCATACTTCCTTATCCTCTCAACAAAATTTTCAAACTCATCCAACTTCGATGTGTAGTGCATCCCTAATTGATTATTTAACGTCAAAACAGGCATACAATGAAAAAAAATTAAACAATGAAGTATAAGTCATCTACAGCAATTAATAAGCAGGACAAGGTTATTCCGATTTCTAACCCATAATCTGAAATGGAAGTCAACTAATAGAACTTTGCCAGCATGTTTTAACAGTGGATACCAGAAGAGATTACAATCTATTAGGATAACTCTCACTATGTTAAAGATTTTTCACAACCTTATTTCTCTAAGTTAGTAAGTTGTAACTGCTTATCCTTGAAGGTCCACCATGCAGACATGCAAAAAAAGGATAATTTACTTTGTAGTATGAATATTCAATAATGACGGCAAAACAGTTGAGAGATGAAAACCAGAACTGAGATAATTCTTGCCATCAAATGGAATGTAGCTTTGCTGCCAATCCATTGTTTGATGAATGGCACTGAGGTATTCCAAATTGAGCAGAATAAAAAGCCAGATCCAAGAGGAGATATAGGTCAGCCTATTCAGATCAAAATGGACTGACTTGACATCCAAAAATAAAAAAGTAAGAAAGGATTAGAAAACCCCTTCAATAACTTTCCATCATAAATTGACACATAAAAAGGATCAAATACCATAAATTCAGTGATTCAACCAAGAACAATCAACTTTTCAACATTGGTGTATCTTAACCCTTCCACTTTGTTCCCCTTCTCAGCTGAGGACCGATCTGAGTATGTGTGTGTGCACAAATGTGAGCAGGGTAGGAGTAGGGTGGTAAGCAACCTGAACTACACATACATGCAACACAACCCATTTTATGAAATTGTGCTCACTTAAGGCCCCTCTGGTTTTCAAAAAATGTGAATTGGGCCATGTCAGAATTGGTTAACTTATAAATCAGATAACAAGATATGTTTGGCTGTAAAAACAAAACAACTCAAGAATCTATAAATTCATTTCTTTATAAAAAATTAAATTTATTTATTTTTTCAAAACATGATATTACCTAATCTAAAATTAGGGAATTCAATATCCATTCTACCAAACTCATACACAAATTTTAAATTAGCTCATTCTGAAATAATGAATTTTGATAATTTGATTTGCGCAACCAAACGGGCCCCTTGGGTTATGATAGAAGTGGGAACCAATATTTGTTATTTCCTGCTGCAAGCCAACAAAAAAAAAATAAAAGTTCTTGATGTACCTGAATTGGAGTTATGCAAATGTTCCTGCCAAATTGTTGGAATGGGTGTCTCCCATTCACATACTGTGGCTCCAAGATGAGATGCAATCACATGGACAGTCGCCTACAAGATGATAAAGCATCCAATAGTCATTAGTAATGTGGAGCTCCCACGTCCTGCAATCCATGATTCAAAAAAAAAAAAAAAAGCCTATAGATACTATATAAGATGAAAGCCTAAACATATGGAAGAATAATAATGACAACATACAGATTTTCCAACTCCAGCATGTCCAGTGATGAGAAGGACATTATTACAAAATTCCTCCTACAATAAATTAAGAAACAAGTTGAGTATCCACAATGAAAATAAAACACATACAGTAAATAACTAATGCATATAGCACACATACAGGACCTTATGTGCACTTCCATATTACAATTTTACACTTCACAATACAAATTCTCAGCATTATAGTTGCAACTGAGAAATGTTGATCATGATTCATATCACACATTAATTTATATTGCAGAAGAAAATTGAAAGAGTGAGAAAGACCTAAAAATTAACCACTAACTTTTTCAAGCGCCATACTCATAAAAAAGACGGAGAAAGCCATCCCATTTTCCCCCATTTTTTGGACAAGTAAGCTTACCTCTCTCTCTCTCTCTCTCTCATGAACACATGAGACTTTAAGCCCCTGACTTAAAGGTTAAAAATTCATCTAAGTACAGTGCACCAGGGCTTATAATGCCAATGGTCATCATATTCACTCTGTTTCGTTTTGAGTTTTCAAATGCAGCCTTTTGTTTTTTGTATTTTTGTGTCTTTTAGTAAACTTTTTTTATATTTAAATCATTTTTTTTTTTAATTTTTAGCCGCACCTAACTTAAATACACCTCAAAAGTAAAATATTTGTGTAAAATCTTTCTAAAAAAATCACTAAATACAAAAAATTAAGTCAATGGGCCAAAATATTAGAAGGCTGCAACATGGATACTTTAAAAAAATATTAGAGGACAAAGCTGTGTGAGCAGCAGTAAATATCTTGAAACCACCACCACCTCTCCCCAACATGGATCCTCATAATCAAAATTTAAATTATTCAAAGTAATAGAAGGCTGCAACATGGATCCTTCCCACCACTTTAAAAAGTGATAGAAGTTCACAACATTGCAAATATTTTGAAACTAGTACCAAAACGCAAAGTGCTTATACTAGCATAGTTATACAATCACAAAGACTTCCAAAAAGCTACGCCTAAACAATGTCACAAAAAACAAAAACAGACAGAAGGCCAGAGTTTCATACATACACTTAAGCCGGAATAAAATTTCAAATATCAATTGTTCGGGTGGATGGATTCAACAAAAAAATTATAATGACAACTAGTATTGCATTAGGAAAAATTGACATAGCATTTGTAATTAACAAAACTACCTTTTGCTTTCTCAATTTTTCCTCAAACCACAGTTTAACTTCTTCAACCTGCACACACAAGGACAGTATAATATCACTCAATAATTTATAACTGTGAATTTAAGCACGCTAACATTACCTTCTTTTTGTGCACAGCAAGCTCTTCCAAGGAACGGGGCTTATATTTATCGACCCATAGGTCCTTCCTATTGCTCCTTGCAGAACCTGATTCCAATTTTAACATCAACTCAGCACTGGAGTGGCCAAATATAAAAAAAATAATACCAGAAGAATGAAGATAGCCAATAGTCAAAATAACAAATTAAGTGAAGAGAAAAAAATATTTGGAAATTAAGGATATAGTAAGGTTCTACACATACCATGTAAACCAACTAAATTTGGAACAAGAATTAGAACATCTTATTACACCACCAGCTACTAGTGAATAGAATCTAAAACTTGATTTAAACTATTGAAATAGACATAAATCTAGATCACACTTTATACTGCTTAGATTTTCACCCTATAAAACATTACGCACTTGGATCATAATTTCCTTCCAACTATTCTTCAAATCATATTCGCTATCATTTCTCAGGCTCAAAAACCAGAACTATAGTACAGAAACAGTGGGATAGATGCAGATTTCAGATTTTCTTGATTCTCAAGGAGCTACAAGCTAGACAATGATACTTTCCTTACAAACCAAAATTAGGACAAAAATAATAAACTAACAAAACTGATACTTCTCAAATTTCCGCAAGAGCTTCAGAAATCAGAGTGTAAATCAAGCCATCCACCATCCACAAACTAACCTTCCACTGCATTTTCAAATTTCCATAAAAGCCTTAGAAATCAGGGTGTAAATCAAGCCATCCATCATCACAAACTAACCCCTTCCATTGCATCTTTTCAAATTTCCACAAAAGTCTTAACCTTCCATTGCATTAGGTTGAGCTTCAACAAGCCTATATATGTGTAAAACATCCACGCTTACAAAAATAAAAAATAAAAAGTGAAAAATAAAAGACCTTTGAGTTCAAAAGCACGATAACCACTCAATGTGGCAATCTTAAAAATATATTTTTATTTCAATGAACATATCCAAATAAGTATCTAAGGCCTTAAACAGTAATTAACCCTTTCACATTAATGTCCACACGTATTTGTATTACGGACAAATATCTGGTGTTTTTAACATCCGTCTTTGAAATAAAACAATTAAGAGTTGTGCTGTACATGAATAAATAATGTAACTGTATAAGACGCAACATTAGATGTAAATAACAAATACCATTTAAAGATTATCATTAATAATAACAAAAACATAGGAATGGAGACACACAAAAAAAATAAAAAATTACAGAAGGTTTAAGCCCCTATTGTGCAGAGAATCAAGAAAGGAGTGACAAATGAGAAAAGAAGAAAATAACAGTCTCCGAAAAGATGCAAATCATATTAAACACAAAAACTATAATGAAAGCATACCAGTAGATATCTTGAAACCACTGAACCCATCATCAAAATCCTCACAGAACAGTTTGATCTGCATGAGACAAATGCCAAAAATGAAAAAATAACAAAACAGAGATCGATAGAGTCCTGTAGGATTGTTGATACGATATGTCAAGATTTTGAAAAGAAAAAATGAACCTTAATTGCAGTGTCATCGTAGACAGTGCAGCATCACACAAACACATCCCTAATAGAAGAGCTAAATTTCTCCCTTTTTTCAGTTTCAAAACACAAGCCATGAATTGGATGTAATTATTCCTCTATTTTAATCAGTTTTCTTATCACCCAAACAGTAGGCAAGTGATTCATACAGTTCATAATCTACTGTCATTTATGATGCTGGACTCACATTTTGATAAACTTACTCAAAAAGTAAGTAAAATTCAAAATCGTGACTTTGAATTGGTTTTAAGCTAATACAGCCTGAACTTCCAATACCAATACCAGAGCATAGATTCCATGTTGCCAAACGCATCCAAAAGTTTCAGACTGTTGGAAATAGAACCTTAAAACTGAAGAATATGAGATAATTGAAGTATACCTCATCAAATCCATTCGATTCTCTAGACGATATGGCATAAGAATCCGAGAGGCGAGTCTTCTTGGACCTTCTACTACTTGCTCGAGGAACTGAGGAAGCTCTTGATTTGGGCTTCGAATGGCTCAAATTCGAACCCAACGACAAGTTTTTATCGTCGTCGTCGTCTGATGAAGACACAACAATGGCGTTCCTCTTCCCCATCACCGCCGATGCAAAACTCTAGTTACAGGGGTTCGGCTCTTCCATAGTCCGAAAATGAACCCTAGCCGAATGAAACCCCAACTGAACAAAAGCAACGAAGTGAGAACTCGTTGAACAATCGCAGAGAGAGAGTCTATGATTCACAAGTGATGGTGTGATGCTCTTATTAACGAGAATCGATTAGTGTATAGAGATTGAAGAAGAGATGTGGATGATGGATGTATCTACAAAAATGTATTCTATATATAGAGGGGGCACTTGTGGGTTCGAAAAAACGCGGGTGTTCTTGTGGGGGCGAGAATAGCGTAGGTTAGAAGCTGGTGACGAGGATAATCTTACGGTGGACTGGCGCATCAGCGAATTTTTACTTTTTTTTTTTCTTTTTTTTTTTTAAGAGTAATTGACCCCTAGGAGACCAGTTTATTTATATTTTACCTTAAAATATTATTAAAAAATTCATTTCTTATTTTAAGAATTACTTTTTCATTTATTTCCTCCAACTGGCTCCCTATTCTTTCTATATTTTATTAACAAACTGCCTATTTTTTCTTTATTTTATTAAAATATAGTTTTTAATTATAAATTTAAAAAAAATCAAAATCGTAAATGTGTACTGCAGTCCCTAAGCAAAGCAAAAGAAAAAAAATATAAAGGAGCTACAGTGACTCCCTAAAAATATGGAGGCACTGTAGCAAAAACTAATTTAGGGGATCATTTAGGAAGCTAATGCAAGTGTATAGGGCGTAAGGATCCTCTAGAGTTAATCCCGTAGAGTGATCTCCTAAAATGCTTAAACCGACAGCTGAGAATAAAACTCACCAAAACGACGTTGTTTTGGTGAGTATTTTGAAATAAATAAATAAATAAAATTCAAATTCAGGGATTAACATATAATAACAAAAAAAGTAAATAAATTACAGAAAGTGAACTACTAGAATGTGCTATGGCAAGATCAAAATATGGTATGCAGCAACTTGAGAGAAGTAATCAACATACATATCACAAATCAATATGTAGAAACTTTAGAAAAGAATCAACATAAATATTACAAATTATATGCAGTAACTTTAGGGAAGAAATCAACATAATATCACAAATCTATTAACAAACTCCCTATTTTTTCTTTATTTTATTAAAATATAATTTTTAATTATAAATTTAAAAAAAAATCAAAATCATAAATATGTACTGCAGTCCCTAAGCAAAGCAAAAGAAAAAAAAATATAAGGGAGCTACAATGACTCCCTAAAAATATGGAGGCACTGTAGCAAAAACTAATTTAGGGGATCATTTAGGGAGCTAATGCAAGTGTATAGGCCGTAAGGATCCTCTAGAGTTAATCCCATAGAGTGATCTCCTAAAATGCTTAATCCGACGGCTGAGAATAAAACTCACCAAAACGACGTTGTTTTGGTGAGTATTTTGAAATAAATAAATAAATAAAATTCAGATTCAGGGATTTCAAAATTCCTCCCATACGGCTGAAGAACTATACAAACGGCGGGAAGAAGCAAAAAAAGAACGAGAGAGCGACGAAGAGTTAGAGAGGCCACTACTTCCTGCATCTCATCGCCCCACCGTGGCCATCGCCCCGCTGTCGCCACTGTCCTGCCGCCGCCGTGGCCGTCGCCCTTGCTCCAACCGATTGAAGAAAATACAGGTGATTATATTATATTATATATATATATATTATACAGCCTTGAATAATAGATATATATTGTTGAATCTTGCTGAAATATAGAATTTTCAACCACACAAATTTTTTTGCCTCATTTGTGTTGTGCTAAATATTGCTCAATCCCTGTGATAATATATATATATACACATTATACATATATTAAAGTTTATGTTTTGTTGGGAAAAGATGAATTTTTTAATGAAATTTTATAGTTGGAAACACTGTCAACATGGTCAGATGATTGTCAAATAAAATGTAATTTGAATCAAGAGTAAGATTAACAAGTTTTGAAACTGGAATGAATTCCCTTGACTGTATTCTGGGTCATTGATTTTTAGGTACTGACTTACCTTCTTTTAGTTCATCTCCTCAGGTTCAGAAATCCTAGGTGTGACATAATATAATATAATTAACAATGCAAAAATAGCATATGCTACTAAAAGGACTATCAGTTACAGAAAAGGATAACAAATAGTTTGACCCTCCTGAAATAAATTTTATTACTGGAACTCTAACCACAAAGATAGCATATTGCACTTGGCATTTGGTTGTTGTTAATTTCTTTTCTTCTTTTTTTTTTTTGTTTGCCTTGATTATCTAATTTCTGTTATTCGTTGATTATCTTATTTAGTTTGTATTATTTTGCAAACATAATTTACAGTTTTTATGCTAATATTGAGCACTTCTTTATTTTTTAAGTGATTTGGGACATTGATATGGAACCTAACAATCATGAGAATGACGGGGGTGAGTGTGATTGGAAGCCTAAAGTTCGCATGACATTTGATACAGAACAAGAAGCATATGATTTCTATAATACTTAAGGAGGAATGTTGGGCTTTAGTATTAGAAGGGGTTATGTAAACAAAAGCAAAGAGAGGCAAATCACTTCAAGGCAAGTTGTTTTGTAATAAGGAGGGATTTCGGGTTGTCGACGAGCGAGATCCATTAACAAAAAATCTTAGGCAGGAAGTGAGGACTGGTTGTCAAGCCCGACTTATCATTAAGTGGGATAGGAATATTCAGAAATTTTTTGTTAGTGATTTTGTTGAACAACATAATCATATCTTTGTACCAGCAGAATGTACGCATATGTTACCATTCCAAAGGAAGAGATCTGCATCACAGGCAACCGAAATAGATTTAGCCGAAAAATCTAGAATCCGTCTTAATGCTGCATTTGAGCTCATGGGTAATGAAGTTGGTGGAAGGGAGTCGCTTGGGTTCATAAAACTGGACCAAAAAAATTATTTGAGAACGAAGAGGCAAAACAGTTTAGCATATGGGGAGACAGGTAGCATTTTGCAATATTTTCGTGACAAATCATTGGAGAATCCATCTTTTTTTTACTTGGTCCAATTAGATAACGAGGAGTAGATTACAAACATATTTTGGGCAATTTGGTGATGTTGTGACTTTCGACACTACTTACAAGTTAAATAGTGCACATAGACCATTTGCGTCTTTTGTTAGATTTAACCATCATAGGGAAACTGTGATATTTGGTGCAACTTTGATGTATGATGAGACCGCCGATTCTTTTGTATGGCTTTTTAGAAGATTATTGGAGGCAATGTCAAGTAAGGCTCCAAAAACAATTTTTACGGATCAGGATGCTGCAATGGCTAAGGCCATACCTATTATCATGCCTAACACAACCCACCGCCTTTGCACTTGGCATTTGATGCAAAATGCATTAAGGCATGCAAATTCTATCTTCAAGGATAAGGCGGTGAAGGATAAGGGAATGAAGAGTGTTTTATCCACGTTTATGTACGACATTGAGGATGAGGAAGAGTTTACATTAAAATGGGAGGAAATGCTTGACAAGTATGAAGTAAGAGATAATCATTGGTTGAAGTTAACATTTGAGGTCAAGGAAAAATGGGGTTGGCCATGTGTTATAAATGCATGGGGTGCGGGCATGAGTAGCACCCAACTTAGTGAATCCTTTAATGCTTTCTTGAAGGATTTCATTCAGTCTGATCATAACTTAATGCAATTTTTCATGCATTTTGATCGAGTTCTTTCTGAGAAGAGGTACAAAGAGTTACAAGCCGAATATGCTCTATGCCAAAAGTTGCCAAGGGTGAATATTAAAGTGAAGATTTGGAGCAATCTGCAGATGTTTACACAAATAAAATTTTTGAAGAATTTCAGGATGAGTATGTCAAGTCCCTTGAAGTAAACATTGAAGAAATTGAAAATGATGGTGAGAGTACCGTTTATATGGTTCTTGATAGTGATGGTATAAAGGTGAGGAAAGTGAGGTAGGAGTGTGATGATTCAGTCACTTGCAATTGTAAGAAGTTTGAAATGAAGGGCATTTTGTGTAGCCATTGTTTGAAGATCCTTAGAGAAAGACTCAAATTCAAAGAGATTCCTTCACAATATATTCTGAAGAGATGGACTAAAAAAGCAAGATTTGAAAATGTGAAAGATAGGTGTGGGCATGATATTCAGGTTGATGTAAGATTGCATCAAACTTCACGCTATAGGTCATTGATGGCAATATTCAGAGCAGTAGCGTGTAGAGCTTCTAAAAGTGAGGAAACATATAATTTGACGGTAGAGAAAGCGGATGAATTAATTGCAAACATTGAAACCATGTGAAGCGCAAAATTCAATATGCCTTGTTCAGATACTATTCAACAAGAAAGCCCCACCGGCACATGCCTCGAAAGCTTTGAAGTGGATGGTGTAGTGGATAAAAATGTAGTTCAAGCAAAAAGACTCAAGAGAAGAGAGTGCACTAGCAAGGGACGAAGGCGGACAAAAGGTGGTTTGGAGCTTGCGTTGGCAAAGAAAAATAAAACAAGTTCACATAATGCTTCTCAAACTTCCATGTCTGTTACTCCTCAAACTCCTCCCTTACTTTCGGCAAGTGCTCCTGAAGCACCTCCTTTATTTCCTCAGTCGGCTCCTTTATTTTCAAGTGCTCCTCAATTTCCTCCATTCTCGCCAAGTGTTCCTCAAGTTAGAGCTTCTTAGTCTCAATTTATGTATCTCGTCTATGATGTAAGTTAGTTTAATAAGAAGTTTTAGTAGGGATTTGTAGGTGACTATTATCATTTTAAATTGATATGTGCTTGTTATTGTTGCAGCCAAGTTTTCTTCATCACAATATGCATTTTTCAATGCCATCGATGTATTCCGTCCATGGAACCTATCAAGCATTGCTTAACAATGCAAGTCGTTATCACTCGCAAGCCTCAAATAGTCCCGCATGTAGTGAAGTAATTTATTTTTCACCTTTCCTCTTTTATTTTGTCATTCATTCATTTAAAGTTCCATTTTATTTTATGGTTCCTTTGATGTAATATTATATATATATTTTTTTTGTAGGTACTATATGGTCGTGGTCGTAGTCGTGGTCGTGGGCATGAGCATGTGGATCACACGCCAATATCATAGCGTTGTTTTGTTTTGTTGGATATGTAATATTGAAAACCTTTCATGAAATGTTATTGAAATTTTTGTGAATTTTTTGTTGGATATGTAATATTGAAAACCTTTCAGGAAACTGTTCCTGAAAATTTGTTGATACCATCCCTGAAATGTTGCTGAAATTTGGGTTCAATTGTTGCTGAAATAATGTTGAACAGTTGATGAAATGTTGCTGAAATTTTGATGAAATTTTGCTTAATTTTTCCTGAAATTTCTGTTCAAATGTTGCTGAAATTGTTGCTGAAAATTTGCTGAAACTTTGGTTGAAATCTTGCTGAAATTTGGGTTCAAATGTTGCTTGAATAATGCTAAAATGTTGCTGAACAGTTGATGAAATGTTGCTGAAATTTTGCTGAAATGTTGTCAATTTTTGCTAAAATTTTTGTTCAAATGTTGCTAAAATTGTTGCTGAAAATTTGCTGAAATAGAGTTAAAATGTTGCTGAAATTGTTGCTGAAAATTTGCTGAAATAAAGTTAAAATGTTGCTGAAATATAGTTAAAATGTTGCTGAAATATAGTTAAAATGTTGCTCATTTTTTGTTCAAGTTACAGTATCTGTTTGCAGAATTTTTTGTAGAATTTTGATAAAATGTTGCAAGGAAAACCGTATCATTACAAGGGAAACTTGCAAAATGAGAATCACATTGCAGGTACTCTGATAAATGCCCAAGCAGATAGTTTGTTTTAAAGTTTTCTGCACCCTCTGGCTCAAGACAAACCATTTCATACAAAGGGTTGAATATAGAATTCACGTGAGTAGTACCATCATCTGTGACTCCTTCAATAGTGTGTTTCATGCCTGAAAACATCTCAGCATACAGAATAACACTAGCCACAAAGTTGACCATGTTTTCTTCCTGAACAACCTGAAGGAAACGGGTAACTACAAACAGAGAATTGAGGAAAGAAATCCATGTGCCTTGAAAAAGGAAATGAAAATAGTAAATACTATTTCATGTCTATAAATATTAATTCCATGTTTGAGTTCAGAAATCACTGGAGCAATAAGCTTATGGATCAATCATGGACTAGGATTTCCCAGCACCAGTTGGGGAAATCTTACAACCAAATTACTGGACTGTCATTTATTTCCACCAAAATGAATTCATAGTTTTAATAAGGTTGAAACCTTTTGGGAGAAAAGAGAGAACAGTGTAAATAGTGAGGGGATGAGAAAAGATGGTAAACACAGGACAAAATTTCTGAGATATATGTCCAGGGAGAGGATCATTTTAGGCTACCTTTAGCTGAATGTTGCCATAACTTGCTACTAAACAAATTACAAAGCAAACACAAACATTACAACAATCAACATTACATCAACATTACAACAACATTACAACAATCAACATTAATACTTAATATTTAGTCCACAACAACATTACACAATCTTATACTTCAAGTCAACATTACAACAACATTACAACAATCAACATTACACAACCAACATTATCACATTGTGCATTTCAAGTCTACATATTTACACTTAGGCCTCGTTTGGGAACCCTCCATTTTAGCCAAAAAGTCAAAAAGTTACTAAATTAGCCAAAAAACCAATAACTCATACCAAAAAGTCAAAGATTCTATTTTCTCTCTACTTTTTGCACATCTTTTCGTAAAAAGTTAAAAAATCATCCCAAACATACTAGTTTTTTTTAGCTCATATTTTAGCCAAATAGCAAAAAAGTTACTAAATTAGCCTGTTCTCAAACGAGACCTTAATATTTAGTTGACAAAAGAAGTTCAAATCCAAACTTAATTTACACTTAATATTTAAACAAGAAAAGAAGAAGTCCAAATCCTATTAATACTATTACAATGGCGTGGTGCAACTTTTCTCGAAGTTGTCTAATTTCTACAACCATTTGTTTCCTTTCCTTCCTAAACTCTATAACCATCTCTTTCAGCTCATCATTGGATACAATTAGTTCGTTGACTAAAGGCTTGATATTACAATTTTCGTCGCTTTCCTTCCTTACCATCTTTAACCATTCACGCTGCTTTTGTAAAGGCATCCACCACTCAAAGAAGCCGCATCCATTGCTTTTGTAAGGGCAAACAAAGTATACCATCCCTGGATTTTCCTGTGACTCTGAAATCCTGAATGCTGCTCTTACCCCGTAACGACATTTTCGATTTCTAAACTGAATTTCAGTAGTGTCACTCATAGATGCATTTGATGTTGACATTTTTTAACTTGAAATAACAACATATTATAAATATGAGATCAAATTAGCCTTCGCCACCAATGTTTCTTTCAAGTAATTCTTTCATATACTTATATAATGCAAACTAATATGTTTTCTCTACTTTATTCTATGTTAAATGAACTCTAGTGCTCAAGTCAGATATTATATCTTGTCTAGGTGTCCAGTTCACGAGGACAGGGACACAACCAAATTGTCACCATGCCCAATTTATCTTTGCTGCTAACAAACAGCAATGAAGTTTCCATCAAAACTGGCATCCAAGACATGAATACTTCAACTCATTTTGATATAGTCATGTAATGAAAGAAAAAATAAGTAAGGAATTCAATGGAACTTCAAATTTAATAAGGTACATACTTCTTTGCACATTTGTCAGACAGTTCTGTTCAGAAAGTCTTTGATACATATACCCACATGTGACTTACTGAAATTATAGATAACTACTAACACATGTCCCATTTCCGTACCCTTGCCAAACATGTCCACAAACATGGAGGATGTATGTTTGTCTTTCTTTAAGAGCCATACTTTTCGTCATGTTATTAATTATGCTTGTTTAATGCTTCACTTTAATAGGATATTGTATTTTCTCCAAATAAAATTATTTACTATCTATTTTGAAAATGTGGAAAAAAAATGCGTATTTCACATTCCTCTGTATTCCAAACTGAGTATGGAAGATGTGTATTTCATATATCATTCTAAAGGGCAAGATGTGTATTTCATATATCATTCTGAGTATGGAAGAAACTATATCATTCTCTTACATACTGTTATCTAAAGGAAGAGTATGGAAGAAACTATACTGAGCATTTATGCATAGACATTAATCAATGCCAAAGAAAACAAACTTAATTACATATATCATTCTCTTACATTCCTCTGTATTCCAAACTGAAAATGCCCATTTTAGGCCCATTAAACACAGATGCATATGTATATATATATAAATATATTCATAAATTTCTTTGATGATTCCAATCATCTACAGTTCGGCTCCTCTAAGCATAGATTTGAAATAAATCATGTAAAAAGTCTCAAATCAAAACCGTAAGAACATATTTTTTGATTTTTTTCCCTAATTTTTGGAATCAAAGCCCTAATATTTGAAGTTTGGAGGATGAACGAACCTGTGGTTTTTTCTTCCAATCTATTGGAGTATGGCAACCCAGCGGTATGGCAGCGGCAGCGGCGACGGTGGCGCGTCGGACGTGGGAAACTCTTCGCCCTTCTCTCTCTCTCTCTAATTTCAGATTTACATTTCCAGGAACCTTCGATGTTTTGAAATCCCTGAATCTGAAATTTTTATTTATTTATTTATTTTTCAAAATACTCACCAAAATAACGTTGTTTTGGTGAGTTTTATTCTCAGTCGTCGGATTACGCACTTTAGGAGATCACTCTAGGGGATTAACTCTAGAGGATCGTTACGTGTATATAGAGAGCCACTTACCCCTTCAAATAGGTAAGGAGGAGCTTTAGGGCATTTGGTGGGGATGCTCTAAGTTCCATTAGACAGACTTGCGGTATAATCAGTGTGTTTTGGAAAGTAGGTAAAAAGTTAATTTTTTGACTTTTTTAGTGATTGTTTTGGCCAAAAAAATTTAACTTTTTAGGTGGCTTTTTTGTAGTTTTTTTGAAAGAACTTGGTAAAAATTCAAAAAATTAGTTTTTTACCAAGTTCCCAAAAAAGCACTGGCTTACGGGAAATTCTATTTCCATACATTTGATTAGCTCAGTATACATATTTTCTCTAAATTTTTTTATTACATTTCTATCCTTCAATCAAATTACCAGCACACCCTCCATTTCTCTCTCTCTCTCCCTCACTCCGGCCTCAAATCCACCCCTTTCACTCCTTCCTCCCATCCTATTCGCTCCCCAACCACCTCACGACAGCGCCTCAACTCCCTCCGCCCCGTTCGTACCTCCGCCGCCGTCGAAACTCTTCCCAA